AGAGGCACTTTCTATCGGCTACTCTTGCTAACGTGGTGGAATATGGACTGGAGTTGAGGGAGAATCAGCTTGACAATGAAGTCAACTCAGAGGGAAGCAGAAAGGAGAACACAGAGTCCTTTAATATCATTTGCATTCAAGTCCAGTCATGTCTATTATAAGATCATCTACCTCTGGTCTTTTCAAAGTAGTCAATTATTTTGCTCCCTTTCTCTCATAAGTCTCTTTGGGCTTAATTTCTTGCCACTATGAGAGTCCCGACTAAGATAACCATGCATACTTGATAAGTTATCTCACTAGTATTGAAAGATAACCTAAAGCATATTAAAATTTTTAAGTTTATTTGAACAAAAATCAATTCAAATCAGGCAGTGCCAAACCGGAAGTGGTTAGAAGCACTCCATTAATAGGAGCTAGAGGAAAGACTTTTATAGGGAAAAGGCAGAAGCAAAGCAACAAAATTATTTGATAAGCTATACCTTAAACATTTGCCTTATTTGGGAAAGTCTAGTTGGCTGTTTGTGATTGGTTGTCCTTGGGTTTTGCGCATCTTAACCTTGAGGCGCTTAAAGGCTTCAGTTTGGGATGGCTTATGTAGGCTAAGGTATTAGAACCACTCAGTCTAATAGCTTTTGTGTTTAATTAATTTAACACTACCAAACAGACTGATCAAGGAAGAAAGTAAATAGATATACTTGGGGGGCGGGGGAGACAAATTCCAACTGTTAAAAATAAAAAGAGGGATTAAACATCACCTATACATTTAACACAATACAAAATTAAAAAACTATTCATGATACTTCTTGATAATCGCTGCATTCAATAGTTAACACCAACCACCAAAAGCTCTTACAGAAACCATTATCTTGGCAAAGTGGCTTTGACTTCTACTACAATCATGGTATATTTTATACTGCCCCTAAATTGCCTGAAACACTGTCTTGGAATCCATATCAGCATCTAAAGCCTGGGGGAATGATACAGAAATGGAGAAAATATAGTCTGCCTCTTAGATGCTTACGCTCCAGGGAGAGACAATGAAGAAGAAAATCTAGCTGTTACTAAAAATGAGCTCCATTTGTAAGGATAACTATAGAACAATCTGATCAATTGTTATCCCTTCTTTTCATCCATTAAAAACAACTTATTTCTCCTTTGAAACCCTTCTAGAACCTCCATTGTAGGCCTAATCTGTGGTCCTTTTTAGTCTATCTTCAGCACATCTGAGAATGCAGAAGCAAAGAGAATGAAATCAAAATAACTCAATTATTAGAATAACATGATTAAGGTGATTCAGTCAGCAAAAATGAAGTCAAACTATTGAAAAGAGTTTTAATGGGGAGTATCATCTTTCATAAATCAGAAAAGCAAACCATGAACCATTTGGAAAGCAACCTGGTTTGTGTCCCCTTTTCATTTATCTTAATTTAGCAGCTTCACGGAGCAGGGCCTGGCAGTTTCTAGTTCAAGTGCAGGGTCTAAGGTTGTGGAACAAATTGTTCCTCCATCTTTCCTTCACATATTCACTTAGGTTTGGTTTTGTTGTTGTTGTTGTTTTCAGTGAAAGGGAAAGGAAATTTTTCAACTTGTAAAAAAAGATTAGCATCAAAACATAATTTTAACATTTAAGTATAAATTTTTTACACTCCAACAAACCAATAATGAAGGAGAATAATTAAAGGCAAACAACACAATAGAAAAAGAGGCTACAGCCCTAGCGGGTTTGGCTCAGTAGGTAGAGCATCGGCCAGTGGACTGAAGGGGCCCAGGTTCGATTCTGCCCAAGGGCACGTACCTCAGGTTGCAGGCTCAATCCCTGGCCCTAGTCTGTGCTCATTCGGGAGGCAATCAATCGATGTGTCTCTCTCACATTGATGTTTCTGTCTCTCTCTCTCCCCCTTCCACTCTCTCTGAAAAGCAATGGAAAAAATATCCTCAGGTGAGGATATAAAAGAAAAAGAGACTACAGAAGAAAAAACCCGAATGGCCAATAAAGTTTTGAAAAGATGCTCAATCTCACTGCTACTCAGGTAAATGCAAATTAAAACACTAATGATACACCATTTCATACATATAAGACTGGTGAAAACTAAGAATAACACATGTTGGCAGGGATTAGGGATATTCTCATACAATAAAAATAAACACTTAAGGAAGTAGATTCACAATTATCAAATTATGCAAAATTGAAGGTACCCTACGGCTTACCCATTTCACTTCTAAATATTTATTCGGGATAAACTCTCATGCCAAACTGTTCACTGCAGAATTGGTTTGAAAGGTGAAAAATTACCGTATGCTCATCATTAAGATAGCATTCATTTTGGTAATTCATTAATAGGTAACTATAGGGTAGCTAAAATAAATAGACTAAACCTAGGTGTACTAATATGGATATATCTCAAACACAACATTGACTGAAAAAAAGTAGGTTACAATAGGATACATGAAGTATGATGCCATCTATTAGAAATGTGAAAGGAGCCCTGGCCAGTGTGGCTCAGTTGGTTGGGCATCATTCTGGGCACCAACAGGTTACTGGTTCAACCCCCGGTAGGAGGCACACAGGAGGCAACCAGTCCATGTTTCACTATTGAGTTGATGTTTCTCTCAATCCCTCCCCCTTTCTCTCTCTAAAACTCAATTTTTAAAAATCTGTAAAAATGTAAAAGGATATAAAACTATACTGTCTATTTTTATTGTGCATAAACATAGGTATTTATTGATACATATGTAACCACAAATTAACATTCCAACTGAGTGATAAAAAAGCTACGCATTCCATTTGTTTTAAGGCTGCAGCTGATCTTCTGGTATCTTAAGAGTGTGTAAATAAAACCCTGTGTTGTTTTTTTTTTAAACTAAGCTCTTTTTTTAAAGTTTAGAAGGCTTTTTCGAGGGAGAAGGGAATGCCCAGAGCCAGCTGGGAAAATCCACAGGTGTCCGCAGGAAAACTACAAATTCCTGTTTGGAGGGGGGGGGAGAGAGAGGGAGAGAGAGAAAGAGAGAGGGAGAGAGAGGGAGGGAGGGAGAGAGAG